GTGTGTGTGTGTGTGTGTGTGTGTGTGTGTGTGTGTGTGTGTGTGTCAGTGTTCCACAGGTGTATTTTTAATGAATCATGCTGCGCCTGTGTGCACTTGGGTAAACACCATTCCCCTGCGCCATATAAACATGTTTGCATTCTCTCCGTGTTACCCCGCAGTTGTCTCTATGGTGACCCCGAACAGCTGCTTTGTTTGACACCTTTGTCCGGCTTTTATTGCCGCAGCTCGTTCAGGATGYGTCGGTTTCAGCCAGTTGTTAAATCTGGTTTTTGGGCCTCACGTTGTTTGTGCTCAAAAAAAAATTCTTGTGATAAGGCTGTAAGCTCCTGTGGCAGACTCGGCTTTGTGCGACCGCACACGACAGCCGAGCCAAAAGACAGATTTGCCTAAAGCTGATCTTGGCACTGGGCTCGGATTGCTGAAGCAACAATTGGAAGCTGGAGCCAGAGGTGAAGCAGACGCAGTGGTGTGCTGCAGGCCAAACACCCATCACCTGTTGACAAAAGAACAAACGAGGGCAAGATTCAAAGCTCCAGCCGGGGTCTGACGTATCCTCCCTGTCATTACCTCGCTCCGGCGGGTTTTGTTTCATCCGGTTTACGTTTTCTCGTGTTGTATATTTCATTAGAAGATTCGGCTCGTCTTTTGTGAGACCGCGTACTCTTTGCTTCTGGAARACACACGGTCAAAGCTGACACTGTTATCTCAAATCCAATTAGATTTTTCCACTCATTCACAAAGTTACAGTAAAACCATTATAGAWCCAATATTTATTATCATTCCATAAAGATAATAAAGTGAGGGAGAACTGTGAGGAAGTAAAAGCTTAGTTTTGCAAATGTTGCAGCTCCAGCTAACTAACTGAATAAATTTTTTTTGGTTATTTTCCTTGTGCTGTATATTGTTGCAAAATAGCTGAAAATGCCCATCAYTTATAGTCCTGTCCTATAGATCAGGGCTATTCAACTGAATTGCTCCAAGGGCCACAGTTACTGTTTCAAAAAGTGATTAAATATGAGTATTCGTGGTTTTACAAAGTTTGCAAATCTGTCTGTCCATCCTTCCGTCCATTTACTTCCTCTTATCCGGGATCAGGTCATGGGGCAGCAGCCTAAGCAGAGACCCAGACTTCCCTCTCCCCAGCCACTTGGGCCAGCTCCTCCGGGGGAATACCAAGGCGTTCCCAGGTCAGAGAAACATAGTCCCTCCAGCGTGTCCCGGGTCTTCCTCTGGACCTCCTCCCAGTGGGACGTGCCCGGAACACCTCACCAGGGAGGCGTCCAGGAGGCATCCTAACCAGATGCCCGAGCCACCTCAAATGGCTCCTCTCGACGTGGAGGAGCAGCGGCTCTACTCTGATTCCCTCCCGGATGACTGAGTTTCTCACCCTATCTCTAAGGGAGATCCCAGACACCCTGCGGAGGAAATTTATTTTGGCCGCTTGTATCCACGATCTCGTTCTTTCGGTCACTACCCAAAGCTTGTGACCATAGATGAGGGTAGACTGACCGGTAAACCGAGAGCTTTGCCTTTGAGAAGTTTGCAAATCTCCATGTTTAAACCAAATCTAAATGTCTTTTGTTGTTACTTGYATTTCACATTTCAGTGGTTAGCACTGTTGCCTCACAGTGAGAAGGTCCTGGGTTCGATCCCCATTTCAGACCTGGGCAGAGTTTGCATGTTCTCCTCATGCTTGTGTCTCCGGGTACTCCAGTTTCCTCAGACCAAAAAACATGGACAATAACTGCCTTCAGGCCCAGGCCTCCCTTGAAAAGAGATCTCAATGGGAKTTGCCTGGTTAAATAAAGGTCAATAAATAAATATAATTCAAATATAAAGTAAGCACCATAAGTGAAGACTATCTGCACTACAGCTCCTTATATAGCCAATAGGCCAATGGCTAGAATGACTGTAAGTGGAAATACAGTGCTTCTATAGGACAACAGGAGATTTCAACCTAGAAACCAGAGCTACTGCTGGCGGGCCAAATCATATGGCTTGGTGGGCCAGTTTTGGCCCGTGCACCTTTGATCTAAATCATCCAAACTGTCAGGTCAGAGCTATACAAAAATTAGAATTAGCTTAGAAAATTGTGATTGGTGCATCCAGCTGTAGGTACTACATAGTTGTGACAGAATACATATAAAACATACAAACAGGAGGCTTGTGGGGATTTTTAACTTGTTTGTTTTGTAACAAAATCACCATTTCAGTCYAATGTATTTTTCTGTCTGTATGTCAGCATAAATTTGAACAATCTGAGTTGTATAAAATTATTGTGAGGAGGCAGGGCATGAGAAAAATCAAACACTCTTTACATTTTCATGTGGATTTAAATAAATTTCTTGAAAACTGCAAGGCAGCACTTTAGCCTTGGCAGAGAAGTGCAACTTGTGTGCCCCCCCCCCACATCACTTTGTGTATAGAATAAATCACTAAATTATCTTGCAACACTTTAACAAGAGAGGTGTTAAATGTTTTGTTTTTCCTACTGGGTCAGTTATTAAAAGGATTAGCACAGATTCTYTGTTTGCTTGAGCTTTACTCCGAGTTATATGACGAGTCAAATCCCATCTTTAGTTGCAGTCGGTTGCAGGCGGCGGGCGTGGTGGTCATTCATATAGGTCTTAGCTGAACCTGCGTGAAGCTTCTTTAAACAGTAATTGACTGAGTCGGCTCACATGAGCYGCAAACTGACAGCTTTTAATCTTGGAAATTTGAAAACCTCATTTCAGACACAGGCTGTAATTAGCAGATTTGTGCTAAGCTTTGTGGAGATGTGCTGAAGCCTCTGCTACTGGATTTTCATAGTCYTAATAATATTTTCAATTCTTTTACTGTACAGGTGTTAGGATACACAGGGAACATATGAAGGGAGGGTAGGAACAAGTTTCAGGGTTTGGCTTAAATGYATCTGAACATAAATCTATGTTAAATCCTTCTTTAGACTCTCCTGCTCAACCCAGTGGACTCAGGTTAGAGTCATTAGGATTTTGTGTTCTGTCTGCGGTAATCTATAGTATTTTTTTTTGGAGTATGTTACCAATCC